AAGCCAGTAACAACTGGCCTGGTTATACCTTAACTGACTTAAGTATTTGCCTTCACACAGTAAAACTCATTTTCTAAGCAAAGATCCTGTAGTTACTGATAAGGCAAACTGGTATTCTCAGTACTTCAGCCCAAGCCCAACTTGGATTTCTGCAGGCTACAGTCATGCTTATATTCCTTTGAGCCTAAAGTGAAGCTCAAAGACGTGAAATAATACTTTAAAAAATGCTATCTATACCAGCACAAAGAGACTCAACTTTCTAACTTATACAACAATTAAATATTGATCAGAATTTGCTCTACTAACACACTTTCTTGTAGCTCTCCTGAAAGTCAATGGAAATGCATGTACTCAAACAAGCTGGCTCCTATTCAACACATGGGAATATTTCCTTGGTTTCATATGCGCCTGTCCTTCAGCATCTTTCAGTTCGCAGGTAGAGGTTCCTCAAAGGCCAATAACCACAATACTTTTCATAGGAGACACCAGAAACCGAATCTGAGACCTTATGCACAAACAAACAAACAAACATGTGCCCCATCACTGAGCAAGGACCTATACTTTGGAGAGTGAGGGTGGGAGGATGACAGGAGATTGCATTTTTACAAGAAATGCTAGACAGTACTCAGAGAAAGGCAGTTGCAGAATCACTTAAATTGGAATGATCTTTAAAGAGATGCTAAGAGAACCCTTTGTGTGTTTTTTCAAAAAACAATAAGCTTTAAGAAGTCAAGTATTACGAACCGTGGAAGAACAAGGACAGAGAATTCACAATGCTTGGACTAAGGATGTCACAGAGAATTCAATAGCCAGTCACAATAATAGAGCGAACATTATTGTGAGAGTATGTCAAGTATATCCAGGCTTTACAGCACAGACCCAAGACAACCAGCAAGATGATCTGTTCTTATCCACTTCATTCCATAGACAGATCTCTGTACGGTTTCACTTATTCCAAAGCCAAGACAGTCAGCTTATAAAATTTTTACCCATAAGCTCAGCAACATATAATAGTTTTATGTGCTATTTACCATTAAAGCACGTTTTGACAAAGTTATTTCTTCATCAAAACAAAAGTGGCACACTAACCTAATTTAAGAGTACTGCCCTAACGCCTCCAGTTTTATAATCATGGAATTAGTAACCTCACATTACTTAGTGGAAAAAGTAAAAACGTTACAATTTTTACTTTGGAGCTGTCAAGAACACAAGATGATATAGTTCTAGTTGCCAGCAGGCTGTCATGGTGTAAGTGTTCAAATCTAAGTCATACAAACTTATTAAATCCACATGATAACAAACAACCAATTAGACAAGAAACCCACTGTGTGTATAAAGCAACAATATCACACTTTTTACATTTCTGAAGCACCACTGGCAAGTGTATTCCCACAAAAGACCTGGTTGGGGGTGGATCCTATGACTCTCTTTTCTTCAACAGGGAAAGACTTCCTCCAAAGGAGAATGGCTTTTTCTGACAGAGAAAAGTGTCTTCTGGTATTTTTTGGTAGAAAGAAGTCACAGGAGCCAATCCAATGTTCACCTTTATTCATATAACTGGAATTCCATTTCTGAAAGAAGAAAAGGTCTTGGAGGACTTACTTCACTCTCATATAGACTATCCAACAAGGTGAAAAAGCTGAGAAATAAAGCAGCAAATCACACTTACTAGTACTTCACATATCAAATAATTGTCCCTATCCAGTTTATTTAATACTATGATAGCTACAAGATTTCCTCAGAAACATTAGTGTATTTACTCAGAAAGTGTTGTTACTCAGATCTATTCTATTCTTTGTACTTTTTCTTGCAACTCAAGCAATAAGTTTAAGTTGATTACTTAAAAAGCCAGACAGGTAAATCAATTACATTAAAACACTGCATCCCATCAACAGAAGTGATTTTTCTTCTTTTTCAAGATTCGTAACAAAGGTCGGAATTTGTGAGTTTCTTAAAATTCTACTTTTTAATAAAAGGAAAAAAAGCTATGTTTTAGGAGCTTATCTGGTAAACTCCTGAGGTGGAGGGCACTTGCAGCTTAGGATACCAAGAATGAGTTTTGGCTTAAAATGTGTGACTTCTGGATGCTGTTGCTGCAATTCATAAAGTAGAACAGAATCATTGGGAAACCAAATGTATATTTTAGCAGCCATGACCCTTTCATTCCATTGACAGATGCGAAAACACCAAACACTGATTTTAAAGCGATTTGTGAAAATGCCAGAGTGTTTTTTAAGACTCACATTCCTTTGCTTTTTTAAGAACATAAAGAGCATCTGTTCCAGAAGGCCAGTGTCACTTTCCTAATTAACCAACATGCCTTTTTAAGCTGTGATTAAAGTTTTAGTTGATTAGTCACACCAATCAGTGAAGGATTACAGCCCTATCCTATGTGTAACACTTCATTTTTGCCTTTGCCAGATTTTGTTCTGTCATTCACCCAGCCCTCCCTTTAGCAGAAGTCACTTTGAACATCTGGCCTTTCCACAAGTCCTCCCACGTCTGTGGCATTCAAGGATCTGGCAACTGCTCGACCTGTACTACAGTCCTTACTGAGAAGCTGGAAAGTACCAGACTCAGGGTCAACTCTTACCCACCATCCCCTGAAACCTCAAGTCCAATCCTGATCCACCCATTCTACTCTTGCTTTAGCTGGTGCCAAGATTAGCTATATTTTTATCCCACTTTTCTTCTAAAGCAGCTCACGGGAATCAAAATCTTATAAAATTGAAGTCAGAATTCAATACCAAAGTTCCTTGGGGAAGGGACTTTCAGCTGAGATGGAGTCAAGGAAGGTAGAGGCTTGTCTGGCTGCTCTCTCCCACTGCAGAGACGCCCACCCCAATTTATCTTACCATCAGAAACAGGGTAAGATTGGTACAGTATTAGTACAGCAGTCTATGCAAGGTCACACTTCTGGCACACTCCATCACACCACTCAGTAAAATTCTAGACCTGGCTGTCAGAATGGCATCACACCAAGAGGTGTATGCTTCCACCTTACGATTACCTCATTCTTCTTTTTTACTACCAATGCCTATGAGACAGAGGACCTAGCTAACTCCCATGCCTGGCTTTCTATTTATTTATTTATTTGATTTTTACCCCGCCCTCCCCGCCGAGGCAGGCTCAGGGCGGCTTACATAAGGAAACAATAGATAAAGCAACAATATAAATATCAAATATTAAAACCATTAACATAACGATGGTGATACAGCTGTGATAAAGTGCACATAGAGACATACATTCAGCGGTACCTCCTCTCTCGGCGGGCTCAGGCTGGCAATAAAAGTGGCACAGGGCATAGATGATGAAATGCAGCTCCTTACCTAAATGCCTGGCGGAAGAGCTCCGTTTTCGCAGCCCTGCGGAACTGTGAAAGGTCCCATCAGGGCCCTGATCTCGCCTGGAAGCTCATTCCAGTAGGTTGGAGTTGTACTTTCTACATGTGGTACAAGTCCAATTAAAAATAATATTTTGCATAACCATAGCTTTGCTTACTGCAGTGAGAGCAGCGTGGAATTAGATACTGACCTAGCTCACTAAGCTCCGCTTAAGAGAGCTCTAGGAGGCTGAACTCCTCATGTTAGAGAAACTGAACTACTAAATCTCCCCAGCTCTTGCTGTACTTGGTTCCTTGGTTTACAAACAAGAAAACACTACAGACGGGAAGTTTTAAGAAAAGCTGCCAGAGCATTCAGCAAGTACTAGAGGCCACATTATCTACCCCTCTTTTCTTACATCTTTGTCTCTCTTCTCACCAGGGGTCATTTGGGGGGGGGACACGGGGGGACGCCATCCCCCCGGGTGAGGTGCGGGAGGGCGGGGCCTGGAGCTCCCTGCTGGTGCCCGCTGGAGGTCGCCGCCGGCTGTGGGGAGGACACACTTCCGGTGATGTCAGGGGGTGTGACATATGCTAATGAGTTATGCTAATGAGTCCCCCTAGCTCTTTTTCTACGAAATGACCCCTGCTTCTCACCAAACTGCCCCTTTCCCCTCTCCCCTTTGGAATATACGTTGTTGGTTATATACACCAATTTATTTATTCTCTTCATTGATTTCCATTGCACTAAACAGGCTACATCATACCAACCATAAGTGCAAGAAACTTTTCTTCTAAAGCAGCTCACGGGAGCCCTTGGGGATTAGGGGAACCTTGAGGACAAACTGGCATGCGGGGGTGCTGCAGTGAGGAGGAGGAAGCAGGTGAAATTGGTGGGGGCAATTTCACCCATTTCTCTTTCCTCATTGCAGCACTGCCATGTCATTTTTTCCATACAACTTTCCTGATCCCCAGGGGCTACTGTGGGGAAGGCAGGAAAGATCTGTGTCTCCAAGCAGTTTTGGTCTTGTGGTTCATAGGAGCAACTTTATGCGAACAAGCAAAAACAGCTGGTATATACAAGCTCCTAGGATTATGGAGGGGAAGAAGAGATCCAATGTGGAAGAGCTAACTAAAGCTGTGGTCACACACACTAAATAATCCACTTTCAATGCACTTTCCAACTGGATTTTGCCAGTTCACACAATAAAATCCAGTTGGAAAGTGCACTGTAAGTGGATTGAAAGTGGATTCTTTAGTGTGTGCGACCACAGCCTATCTGATCTAATTCCTTCATACTCAACCATCTGATTTTTTTTAAGAAATCCATAACATAATGGAGAAGTAAAAAGGACTTAGGTACCATCATTTCATTTCTGGACATTCTGTATTTAGTAAAATACTTGTTCTGCAAGTATGCGGTATCACAAATAAGGCAAGAATTTTGCCACACAATCTGAAAACCCCCACAGAGTAATGTAAAAAGCAAACACAAAACTTAAATTGAACCTTGAAAGTACAACATGAAGATAAACTAACGAGCATGGAAGGAAATGAACACATAACAAAGTCACCTCTGTTTAATAAACCAATTAAAGATGACCTTACTCAAAGAGAAGGGGAATCTGGGCAGGGTTTTCAAAGTCCAACAGCTAACAGAAATGTATAGTCCACATACCTTCTATAGAAGGGGCCTGGTCCTGAGCTGCATACAGCATCTCCTTAAAAGCCTGTAAAAAAGGAAGCGGGAGGGGTAATGAGATGTCAGCACAAAACACACTAAGCCATTTTGATAAGACTGTCTTAAAAACTGAGTAGCAATTGAAGTTCTTCTATGAAGACTGTCAGAAGACCCTGGGATGTGAAGTCAAAGCCATTACACTTATAAGCAACATCAAAGTATGAAAGCAGTGCATGCTTACTTGAAGTACTTAGAACAAACAACAGATCTCAGTGTAAAGACACCTTTACTAGGTTTCTAAGATCTTCCGTTTCTAATCTTTTATCCAAGCAAATGTTTAGCAATTGTTACCATTGCAGAATTAGTTGCTGAAAAGACACAACACTATCTCCAATCTTATGCACATACAAGTCATTAAGTTTATTACTACTTTGTGGCAGAAGGAGATGGATTCAATGCACAATGACAGTGTTGCACAGCCAAGGTTTGTAAGGGTCACAACTACCTGGGCCCAAAATTTCTGACAACACACAGAATGGTTTTGCGAAATTAAGTGCCACATTTTGGATTATGAAAAGTGCACAATACAGCTGATTCCATTCCTTTATCACAAAACCTGTCACGGTTTTAACTTAAGGATTCCCCCTACTCAGTAATTCTGTGGAGAGAGCAAGAGTTGGAAGCTCTTACGCATCCTCCAAAGCGGCCTGCTAGGGTTTTGGTTTTTTGCCACAGCAATAGGTCTTCTGCCTCCATCATATGCTTCCAGGTTGGCAAACGGAGAGCCAACTTTCAACCTAGGGACTGCTCCCCTGAACAATCCCTAGAGCAAGGTTTAAAATGCAAGCATTTTTAAAACAGGCTGGCTGCAAAACCACAGTTTTAAAGGTAAAGATCCAATTTCCATTAAGTACAACCTGAAATATGAGATACGCATGAGAAGATGGTACCAGCCAGTCATTCAAAGCACTGCTGAGCACGCAAGAGGACTTTCCTCAGAGATGCCTTCAGCAGCATCAGATAACATTTGCACCTCCAAGCCAAACAGCCGAGAGATTACCTTAGAATTAGTGCCTGACAAGAAAACATTTCTTATAGCAACTTGCATCGACTGAATGAAGACCTCCCTTTGTGTTTTAAGACTCTGACTAGGACTTGTACTATCCAGGATGCGTTCAAAAAGATGGGTTGATCCAAAAAAACAAGCCTCAGTAGTCTGTCAGCTCCCGTGCATTTTCCTATCAGGACCTGCAGCTCACAGTAATTTGCATTTGCTGAATCAGATTACACGACAAAACGCAGTTTATTTTTTGCTTACAAGTAGGTCAAAAATGTGGCTTGGCTAAGTCTATAACAAATGGTTCCTACATAGTTTGAGGACGCAATGATATTAGTTTATCCTAAAAATATTCTATTATAATACAACTTTTTCAAAAGTATAGTTCTGAATCTGAACAGAGTTCCATTTTTATTTGTTTTTTTTGTTTTTTGGGGTTTTTTTACTGGTTAAAAGTTTAGATGTTTTAGTGTTAAGGAATTGTATCTATAGCTATTATAGTTTGTTACAAGATATCAATGTTAATTTAAAGTATATTTTTTATCATTTGTAATACATTGTTATTGTATAAAGTGAAAACAATAAAATATTTTTAAAAAAATGTGGCTTGGAACAATTCTGGCTTGTAAATTTGAAAAGAGGAAGTATACAAGCTTGAGGAACCAGGAACAACTTGGTCATCCAAATTCAAGACAGTTTCTCAAACACCTGGAAGAAGAAAGGTCATAGAAATATGAAATGGGGGGGGGAGGGAAACTCAAGAAATAACTGCAGTTATTCCTCAGTTTTTTTCCAGTGGAAAACCTGAAATTTAGGGGAGCACTAAAAATCCTCTTAACATATTTTCTTTTTTTAGCGTGAGTGAAACGCTTGAACCACAAAGCTGTTAGATAAGGAACAGGAAGATTTTTTTTATCTTCAGCATTCAATATTCAGCGTTCAAGAACAATAATTCCTGTGCATGTTGTCAATACATACAGTTTCAATCATGTATTTATTGTTTCAGATGTGATTCATTTTGTGCCACCAAAATTTCAGGATGGGGAAATATAATTTCTACCCCCACCCCAGCGCCTGCTTCATTTCTTCTTGCCCACTCATTCCTGCCTCTGTCCAAAGAATATGTTTTCTTTTGCTTGCTACAATATTTCTGCTCTCTATTTCCAACTTTTATTTTTCCTACCTCACAGGTGGCAAAAACTAAGATGTGTGTGCTTAACTTTACCCAACAGACGGGTCGACTGCCTGTTTCTCCTGAGGACACTAGCTTTTTTTCCCTATGCAGGGTGTATTCTATGCCTGCTTAGACTCCATGCTAGAAGCTGGATCCAAAGTGCTATGAACAAGCTCTGTTCATGGAATGGAATTTTATTTATTTATTTATTTTTTATTTATATATATTTATTTATACATTTGGCTTATATACCGCCCTGACCCCGAAGGGTCACTGGGCAGTTTACATAGGAGTCTAGGTCTGCTTTCCCTATCTACGGCCACATAGTGCAGGGGCGGGGGGCTGCCTACCGGCACCCAGGTGATGGGGCTCGCTGTTTTTCCGGCTCGGCTCCTTCTTCTTCCAGCCTCCCTTTTTCCTGCAGCCTCTGGTGCCTCTCAAAATGCTATGCCCAGGGGGAAGAGCTCCATCTTGCAGGCCATGCAGAACTGTAAAACGTCCCGCAGGGCCCTGATCTCATATGGGAGCTCATTCCACCAGGTAGGGGCCAGGGCTAGTTGAGGCAGGACGGATGTCCCTGGGGCCAGTGACCACCAGGAAATGCTGATTAGCAGATCTTGAAGCCCTTTGGAGCTCATAGGGGAAGAAGCAATCTTGCAGATATGCAGGACCCTGGCCGTATATTTATTTATTTATACATTCGGCTTATATACCGCCCTTACCCCGAAGGGTCTCTGGGCGGTTTACATAGGAGTCTAGGTCTGCTTTCCCTATCTACGGCCACATAGTGCACCCAGGTGGTGGGGCTCGCTGTTTTTCCGGCTCGGCTCCTTCTTCTTCCAGCCTCCCTTTTTCCTGCAGCCTCTGGGGCCTCTCAAAATGCTATGCCCAGGGGTCAGGGGACCAACAGAAATAGGGCTGTGACCCATGGACACCTACAGTGGGAGGGGAAAATCAGGGAAAATCGTGCCCCCTCCCAGAGTTTCCAGGAAGCTCCGCCAGAAATCTGTGTCCTCTACCTAAATCTTGTGACAAATAGCAGAAAAGAACCAAAAATGTCTGGATTAAGATGAGGCAAAGTCAGCTCACGAAGTGGAAAAGGGGCTGCAGCTGTATTCATTGCAAACATTACTGAAACCAATAGTTCATTCCATAGGGGGAATAACTGGAGATTCATAGTGTCACTCATTTTTAACCATTTTAGAACAATGAACTTCCGCTTGGCGAACCCATTTTTTGAGTCTCCACCTTTCATGCCTTTAAGAAAAACAAGTAAAAACAGCCACACTTCTAGAGGGGAGCAAATACCCTGTTTCCCCGAAAATAAGATATGCCTTTAAGAAAAACAAGTAAGTAAAAACAGCCGCACTTCTAGAGGGGAGCAAATATCAGTCATGCACCAAAAAAAAGTTAGTTTCAGACAGTGGCTTTGTTTGCCTGCAGCAAGAGAGTTAGATCCGAGTCCAGCAGCACCTTAGAGACCAACAAGATGTTCAGAGTATAAAAGCTTTCAAGAATCAAAGCTCAAAGTCAGAACACTATCGACTGACTTCATAGTTCTGCCAAGTTAATGCAATGTTCTAAAGGACATGTCTGCATTATGCTAGTGTGCTTGCTCCGGAGGACAAGAAGTTGGGAGCAAGTTATCTCCCAAAGGAATCCACACACAACGCTGCAGCCCAAAAGGAGTTATACAACACTGCCCAAGGCACTGTTTATTAATTTACACCTTAATTGCTTCCCGGCAAACTTGTATTTTGAGAACGGTGCTGCATTGCATGAAGAAAGAGTGGCACATCCTAAGGATTCCATAGTTTAATTTCCCAAATGGTAGAAATGCTATCCCCAGTGCTCCAAGCTCTAACACCTCCTTGCCTGGCTATTACATTTCTATGGAGTCAGACAAACCACTTAGAATGCTAAAAGGGCGAGAGGAGAGCTGGAATCGCTGTCCACACCAGAGCAAGATTTTTTTTTAATTTAGTATTGCTAACTTCACACCTTGCAACAGCAATTCACACTGCCTAGCTCCAGCTAGCACTGCTTTCACACTGCTCATGATGAGGGATGCACTAATCCGTCACATTCCGAACAGCATCTTCTATGTACTTTGATCAAGTTGTGCAATAAACAGATTCATTTCTTCACTTTCACTTAAGTAAGAGCTAAACTGAAGCTGCTTAGCGGCAGGTAGAAGAGAACCAGGCAATTCAATGTCTTAATGAAGGCTAAGAATACAGATTTAGAGAAGCTCAAGTCAAACATCAGTGTTCAACTTTTCAGGAGAAAAACAACAACATATAATCCTATTTAGAAATGACAATAACATCTCCTTGCTGTAAAACTAAAATGTCAAACACTAAAAACAGCATCTAATGAGACAGTTTAAACCTAAAAAACCCCTTGATAATAATATTCTTATAAATCCTCGATCCTACTGAGTATAGGTGAAATACAAAGAGAACAAATAAGGCATGGCCTACTGAAGTCAATGGCGGAACTCCACTCATATCTGTAGAACAGAAGCTTACTAATTTCTCTGGCCATGCTGTTTCAGTTTATTTTCTTAAAAATACCTTCACTAGAAGTATCCATGCAATAAACCAGTTGCCCTATGGTATGACTTGCCCATATGTCCTGCCTCACGTTATATGGGCAGTTATGAGTACAAAGTCTGCCACAGATGATAAAAACATCTATAGTAGCTATTCAAATTTAAGATTCCAGTGGGTAGTAGTAGGAAAAAACTTAAGTACAGTAGTACCTTAAAAACTAACAAATTTTTCCAGAGTACAAGATTTGATGAAACCTCTT